CGGTGGCCAAGGCCACGGGCCTGGGAGGCTCCCAGCAACATTCCCTGGGCTCCCAGTTCTGCCTGCGCCTCTGAGGGCAGAGAGACGGGGAAGAGGGCGGGATCGGCCAGGAGAAAACCACAAAAATAAAATCTACAGACACAGCTCAGAGGACAAGCTGTTCCCGCGGCCCACAGCGCAGCCAGGACTTGGCAGGCGGCAGGGGGCAGGGAGCGGTCAGCTGCGTCGCCTGGCAGGGCTGGGCGGGGCTTGTGGCCACCGGGCTGGGCGGGGGCTTGGCATGTGGCTCCCGCTCCCCACCCACATATGAGGTCGGGCCAGGGACAAGGGAAGCTGCCTGGGAGCCCTGAGGATGGCTGGGGGCTGGCGAGCTGAGACAGCTCTGCGTTCATTCACACATTCTCCTTTGCACAAATGCTCCATGCACCATCATGTACCAGCAGAAATGAAAAAGCATTGAGCTAAAGGAGTCACATCCCTGCCTTAAAGGGTGGGGTGAATGGAAAAACACAATGTGGTCCATCTATACCATGGAATATTATTTGGCCATAAAGAAGAGTAGAACTGCCCCACAGGATTTCCAAGGAGCAGCTGGTGGATTCAAACTGTGAACCTTTTGGTTACAGCCAAGTTCTTAACCACTGAGCCACCAGGGCTCCAGAGAGACACAAAAGTCCACATATTGTCTGATTCCATTCATATGAAAAGTCCAGAACGGGCAAATCCATAGAGACAGAAAGTGGACTGGTGGTGGCACCACGGTGAAAGCGATCGACTGCTATCTGAAGGGCTAGTGGTTCGAAACCACAAGCATCTCCGCGGGAAGACGATATGGCCGTCCGCTTCCCGAGCCTTGGAAACCCCATGGGGTTGCTGAGTTGGAACTGGCTCCATGGCAGTGGGTTTGGTTTTGGTTCAGAGCTTGGGGGGAGGAACGTGGGGAGTGACTGCTAATGGGTATGGGGTCTCTTCTGGGGGTGATGGAATGTTCTGGAACCAGACCGTGGTGGTTGTTGCTCCACCTTGGGAATTTGCTATACGCCACCGAAATGTTCACTTTAAAGAGGGGCAAGCGTATGACATGTCAGTTCTATCTCAATAAAGCTACTGTTCATAAAACAACTCTTAACGGGGCACCCCACTGTCCTTGGGGTGCATCCCCATCGGTTGGGTGTGTCCCCCACACCCCTCCCCTTCGCAGTACTCCAGCCCTCTCAGTACAAGCTCCTCCTTCCTCTTCTCTAGCCCTCCTGCCCTCCCGGTTACTGGGGACCCTCCCAGACCCCCCAGCCCAGCCTGCGTGCCCTCCTGCCCTCCGGGT